ACGAATAAATCAGACACCACAATCGCCACTCGTCTGCCTTCATATACGGGAAACCAGATTCGATCTTTGTTGATAAAATGGCATACCCAGGAGGAACAAGAATACCATTGGCAAGACGTTGCATACGGATGAGAACAGCAGTTGGGAGATACCTCAGGTCTTTCCAAACACTGATCATATGCTTTGCTGTCCCAAGAAACAAATTGTGCATGGGATCAACAATCGTGTATCGGACGGGATCAAAGTAGTGTAGGCGATGCAACTCGGAAAAACGGGTGCCATGCTGCTTCTCCAAAACAGCTCTCTCTGCATCAGATTCTGCACAGAACCACATCTCAGCTTCGGTTGCATTTTCCTCTTTTGTTCGGGAGACCCAGTTCTCATGATCGAATCCAGAATAATTGATCTTACTTGTTCCAGCAACAACAGTGAAATGACGCTTGCATATGTGACAGGCGTTTGTACTTGCAAATCCTGTAAATCCAGCAGTCTTTCTTGCAGCAGGTATGTCGCAAGCAACACACATAAGAGCAGCGCGGATACTAGTACCATTGGGGAACTCTGGAGTTTTCATAGTTATGCCACCGTATAACTCTACCAGCTCGTCTACCAGAGGTTCCAAGAAGTTGTTCATCTGGTCGATCTTTGCTTCCTTTGGACCAGGCATGACACCAACAAGGATAATGTTTTCCGGCTTCATTCTTTCTTCCCTAGGCAGGTTGTTCATTGACAGGTACAAGGCCCCACTTGCATGTGTATGACCCTCGAACGGTTGAAACCAATCCACATTCAATGTCAACATCAAAGAATGGTCGTGATTCACAAAAGGCTTGTCATCTTCATCAAGGAGCTCAGACCACATTGCACCATCATAGACGTCCAACAAGGTACTGTTTACGGTTTCCCTTGATCTCCATTGAACGATTTGATGCTCGAACCCAGGTTTGGCGAAATGCTGTGCCAATGCATTCTTGAGCAAGTTGTATGGAAAAACCATGAGAGGGACGGCGCGATCAGCTTCGGTGTCAGAGAAAAGAGGATTTCCGCAGTATGTTGGTGGTGTGGTTGTGTATTTTTCGAATGTGCAATTTGGTTGGCGATTGCCTGGCAGGTAAATTGCAAAGCACTTGTTGCAGACGGTGTATTTGACGATGCTTTTTTTCATGAAATTGAAGCCGGTCATAGTCTTTAATGCATCAATGGTGAGTGGGAGATCGGTATCCTTATCAAAGGCAACAAGAAGATGGTGGAAGAATTTCAACATAGCAGTTCCACCTGCTTGAACCAAGTAAAACGCCTGAAAGATAACGCCAAATAGAGCCATGAATTGGCTTGTTTGAGACATTTCATGAATTTTCAAAGAAGCAACTACAAAGGCAAGTATTTCTGTTAATTATTTGTAACACAATTTATGTATATTTCTTTTTTAAATGTATGCATACTGGAAGCAACCATGTCTTCAAAATCTTCAACACTGGCAACCTCAACTTCACTCTCATCTTCAGACTCATCGCTTGAATCAGGATCGTCATTGTCAGAAGCCAATGATGTTGTCTCGACATCAGACTCTTCGAATTGAAAAATCTCGTCTTCTCTCAAAAAAGGTACACTCTGTATGGTAGTTTCGGCTGATACAATAGAATAATTGTCTTCATCTATAGTAAAACCAGACTATTAGCTATCTAAATTATGATTTATTAAAAAGAAATTTTATACTCACAATCAATCGATGTTTCAGATACATCTACCATCTCAACGTCTGTCTCTTCTTCGACAACTTCTGTATTAACTGATAATTAACAAAAAAAATATTAGATTACAATTTATCCAGTAATGCGCGTACTACTCAAATGTCATTTACCTCGATTTTTTGGGCCAATGTCTAATAACTTATCAGCATTATTATGATGCTTAAAGGTCTGTGCATTTTGCAAAATTCCGCCAATTGCATTTTTGGTACATGATGAACATGTACACATAACAGTGTAGGTTTTAGTTGTAGAATTCATAACAGTAAGAATAATATTAATAATAATAAAATAATAAAGAGGTGTATACTATATTTTATTTTCATCTTTTATATGTCTCTTATTTTTGTCATTAATAATGAGTTGATATATCTTGTTCACTATGTCATTGACTACATTGAGCTTACCGTCCCTATTAGTAAGAATTACAAATGGATTTTGATGCAGCGATCTTTTCTTAAAAAAAGTGTGCCTGATTATTAATGGGGCTTCAATTTAATAATCACTGATATAATGGCGTAGTTTTTCTCTTTCACGTTTTTTTAACATGACATCAATTCTCACTCATTTTGACAAGTAGCCTTTTTTGGATTTTCTTTTTCTTGTATTTTTTATGACATCAATTCTTGCTCTTTTTTTCAATTTTTTTTGATATACTTTCTTATTAAAAATAAGTCATATATCATACATTATTATATTCTAATAAAATTCGGTATTTTTTGCAATGCAATAAAAATATTATTGAGTCTAAATTAGGTGCATCTGTAACAACAAGTTTTTCCTTCTAGAAAAATAATTAAATACTACATTTAACATTTAATATTTTATTTTTATTTTTTATTTTTCTGCCAAGTCAATCGAAACATATATTTTTTAAGACAATTGTGCGATTTATTGCCTAATTAATAAATATTTGTGTTTGTATCTGTGTTTATTTAATATAATCAGAAAAAATTGCGAATTCCCATCTCAAGAAAAAAATATATTGAAAAACGATGGTGTTTGAAATATTTTTCCAAATTTTGCCAAAATTCAAAAAATAAAATTCGATTGAATCCACCCTCCTTTTGCAGTGAACAGGGATTTGAATTACAGAGATTTGAATAGTAGCAGATATAAACAATATTATTTTGTCTCTTTAATAAATAACACTCTCACAGTATCTACTTTTCCCATTATTGAGATACTAACCCATAAACAATCCCGAATACCTCAAATATAACTAAAATTGCAAATGGTAATATTAAATAATTTCATTTCTTTCTGCTAGTATTTTTTAATGGGAGTTTAGTACAAAAATTAAAAGCATATAATTGGTTGCAAATTTGAAAAAATATACTTCTTACCAAGCAAATTTTGAAAAATAAGAGACTTCTTTTTTCAAATTTCTTTTGTTTTGTTACACTTAATTTAAAGTTAAAATTTGAAAAAAAGTCTTCAATATCCTTATAAAGTAATTTTTTAGTTTTTTCAAAATGCATAAAGATTGCTATTAACGTAGCTATTCTTTTAGTCAGAAATCAAGTATCAATTCATATAAATAGTCAAGAAATATATTTATAAAAATTATATTTTATTTCCAATCCAAAAACTATTCATAAACTTAACAGTCCCCAGTGGTATTGATTCTGCAACTTAGTTACAAGTACCAAAAAAGAAATACCAGATCAAGACTTGACACACCAATGTCAAATCTGACAAATGTTGTTCCCAATCTGGGTTGGTCTTCCTTTTACTATAACAAAGTCAAAAGGTCAAACCCACTGGGAATCAAGGAGTATACGTAAAATCAAAGAGAGGATAAAAGATACTTTTTATTGGTACAGTGATCCCTCAATAATTTCACGCCCCTTTAATTTCACGCTTCAATAATTTCAAGGCTCTGAAGACCCAACTCGAAAAATAGGGCTTAACTATCACGATTCTCGTTAATTTCACTTTCACGAATTTTTTTGGCCATGAATCCTTAAAGAAAAAAAATTAGCCAATCAGACAAGAGCACTATAGTTAAATTTTGCTTTAAATTTTTTTAATTCAGACTTTTCATGATTTTGTAATTGACATCAATTGGTGTGGACAGACTAAAAGTTCAAAAAAAGGGCAAAAAAGGGCAAAATTAATCAACGGCTATAATTGGCCAGTTTTCGTCTGATACTACTTGCATGATAATATCATGCATCCCTTCTAGTTGCATTACACTTAAATAGCAAACGACAATTTAAAGCATATATACTTGCTATAATTAAATACTAGCATATATAAAAGTGAGAAATATATTACTCTTTTACTTATTATCTTAAAAAAATGCCGCATACTCCAATAAATATACTCGCAAAATCATTTTTGGATGCATCTGCAGCTATCACTCAACACACGTTAAAGAAGATGATCAAGATGTTGTCCAACTCTAATGTCATTGCTTGTGAGGAAGATCATGACACATACAAAGATTTTGCAAGCATATGCAAATTAAAGCTACAACAGGAGAAATTGATGGTTACAAAGGCCCAAGACAAAATCAGCAAAGGATGCTATTTTTTTAAAGGGCAAAACAAGATCAAGAAACTTGTAACTCAAAAAGAAAGATTGAATTTTCTGCTTGCCTTGGATGAAAGCGGCTTTCTGGAAGAGTTTCGAATGAGCAAGGGCTCTTTTTATAAGCTGTATGATCTTGTAAAAAATCACGAGCTTTACAAACAATTGTCAGGATTTTACTCGATCGATGTTAGACTACAGATTTCTATTGTTCTTGACCAATTAGGATCAAATAGTAATTCTTCATCAAGTGGCCGTTTGGCAAGACGTTCTGAAATAGGAAGTAAGTGACTCAGAATAATATTCTACAACTGTTTACCCACATATACAAGAGCAAATTTATTCACCTGTTTCCTACAATAAAAACAAATAGAGGGCTCTATCAAGAATATAACAACCAGATTCTTTAAAGTAATTCTCTCTTTGGAGCACAAGTTCGTTTATTGGCCAACCAAATCTGAGAAAGCAGAGATAAAATGAGCAAATGAATATCCATTAGGATATCCAAACCTTGTTGGATTTCTTGATGGATGCTTATTTAAGCTGGCAAAAGCACCATCGTGGAAGTCAGAGCAGTTTTTTGGTCGCAGATTTGCTTACTGTGTAAACAGTGTCACAGTGTGTGATCATAGACACATAATCCGATGCATATCAACCAGTTTCTTTGGAAGTTCACATGATATGTGTACTTTGTCTGAGTGTGAGCTTGGAAAATTCCCAGAGCAATTCTTCTCTGATGATGAGTATGTGTTGGCAGACGCGGGGTACAAGGCTATGAACTATATTGTTCCAATCAAAAAGAAACCAAAGAACAGTGAACTCTCATTAGCAGACCAAGAGTTCAACACCAAGATCTCGAGCATGCAAATAAAAATTGTGCATGAATTTGGAATCTTGAAAGAGAGATTCTACTCTCTCAAATCAATCTCTGTAAGAATAAAAAGAAAGGAAGACATTGTAAAAGTTAACACATGGATTCAGGTTTGCGTAGACTTGAACAATTTCCTGATATGTCAAGATGATGACAAATGGTCTCAGGAAGCCAAGCGTCGATGGGAAGATAGAGAGAAAGCTGAAGTTGAATGTCTGCGGAAGACAGGATATTCAGAGAAGTCTGGTATAGTAGATGGATCCCAGAATATAGACAAAAATACAAGGTGGATCCAAACACAATGTGTTGTTATGTCAAAAGAGAAGAATAAATCTTCTTGAATAAAGAAAATAAGCTTTGATCATTCTAAATACATTAAAAAAACAGAAGTATTAGCTTTTATATCTATTAGATAGATCTCACTTTTCGGCATTTGACAGCTGTAATTAAATAGATATTTTGTCATTATTTATGTTCTTCTCTTTCTTTAATATTTTATTATCAAACTATTTTGAAGATGTAAGTAGAAGATCAATTTTACCTGTTTTAATGATAGTATCTTTATATAGTCTACATGCCTTTACATTTTTTTAAATGAAATAACATTAGTTCTGAGAATTTGTATATATATAAATTAAATGCATAGTATAAATAAAAGAAATACAATTTATTAATTGAGGTATTGGTTATATACCTCTTCTAATTCATTCTTAGTCTTCTTCTCAGACCAGTCAAATGTTTTTGCCATAAGGATCACTCCTTTTACCTGCTGCTTGCATTGAAGCTCTTTTTGCAGCTTCTCCTTCTGGTTCTTGAGCTCTTCCTTGTACTTTGATTCTAAGAGCAATATCCGGGCATCATTGAACTCTTTTATACTATGCCTGATATTCTCTATGCTCTTGACTGATCTTTTTGCCGTGTTCTTCACAATCTTGCCAAAGAATTTAGGGCATATTTTGCCACTGTACGCACTGGCATCAGAGTGCTCGGAGCTGCTGCTTTCACTATTGCTTTAGACAATGGCCTCTCTCTGAGAACTGATCTCATTGCTGACATCAGCTCCCTGTTCTTCTTGGTCTTTGTAGCTTTTGCTGCTCTCACTGGCTTCGTCACCTCTATCGTTTTCACCGTCTTCACTGTCTTCACCGTCTTCACCCTTGCTCATGTCTTGGGCTTTGTTTAAGTCTAAGAGTGTTGTTGTATTACATACAGCAGGTGACTTTGCCTTACTTTTACCAAGTACTTTTCTCATCTGCGTGAAGTTTGGGCATATATTATTAAGATATACTTATAAAAAATAATTTAAATTATTTAGATGTTTGTTTTAACTTATACGTAACAATATTCATATCTTCAAGCTCATCTTTTTCATGTTGAGACATTTCTTCTTTGCTAATTCTCATTGTGCTGTCTTCCCAGGCTTTGAATGCAATAGGATATTGCTTGGTTATTAAATACGTCAGCTTGCTTTTTATTTGAGAGCTGGTGTGCTTCACACCATGCTTATCAAAATACTGGCAGCAGTTGTTGATTACTCTGGTCTTGCTGACCTTGACCTTCTTCCCGTTCTTGAAGCCACCAAGATACTTCCTCAGATTGTCTGCATCGTCTTTCAGCAGAAAGTACTGCAGCCAATCATTCGATGACAACCCATCTTTACCACCATCTGGCTTCATCCAGGAATGTGACTGATTGTCATCTTCCTGATGAGAAACGAACTCAATAGCACTGGGGGTGGACATACTTTTATTATGATAGTTTAATGTAAGGTACAGACGATACAAGAAGATAATTTTTTTATAAAAAAAAGACAAAAAGGATGGAGTTAAAATGAAGGTAGATGAGTATTGATTATTATTTATAACTTTATAAGAGTAATATATACTGCTAAGCTATTTTGGCTAAAATGTTATACCTGTAATAAATGGGTTTGTAAAAAAAGTGATGTAGATAATTAGATTATGAGATGGAGAGAGGTTTGAGCTCAAGAAGAATGATTTTTATTGATGAGAATTGTTAAGAGTTCTTGTACTGATTGAGAGGACTTTTAGAGACAGGGGATATCGTTTGCATACATATGCTTTGACGATATGCAGATACGGATTCAAGCAGGGAGAGATTCTGAAGAGTTGTAATTGGATAATATAAATAAATTCGTCTTTATCCACAACAAAACAGACTTCTTTATGTTGATGTATTTGAATATGAAGCATTGACTATGCTTACTGACAGTGACGGCATTATGAGCATAGCATTACCTAATATTTATTTTGAACTAATTTTGAACTTTTAGTCTCTCCGCACCAAATGTCAAGTGCATTAAGTTTTCATGCCAAACACTGGGTTATCAAGTTGTCATCTAGCTTAATTTTTTTAAAATTTTTTTTTTTTCATTTTTTTTCCAGAAATAAAATAAAACTATATGTACTATATTTTGATTAAGTTTCATTTATTAATTGTTTAATAAATATTATTCACTTGAAAACTATAAATATAATTCTAATTTGTTTGTTATAAAAGTTTTTATTATAGATTTTATTATTTCTATCTGTTATTACTATTTATTGTTATTTGCAATTGTTACTATTTACAAACATATTACAAAATCAAGCTTTGACTGTACTTGGCTGCTAACTTTTTTTTCTATTTTTAAATGAAGAAAAATATATTTCTTATAGAAAATTGCTTTTATTTTATTTGAAAAAGAATAAATTTTAAAATGACTTGAAGAAGCTGATTACTTTAGTTTGCTTTGAGTTTGCGGTTTTCTGGAACTTGTTTCTAAGGCCTTAAATCTTACTGACAAAGTCTCTGTTAATATCTTTGTCTTCCAAGATATTCAAAAGCGTGCAAACACACTCAAACTTTTCCGAAGCAGAATAAGTTCTTTTGAAAGGAACTGCTGATTTCACTTCTACAATTTCTTCATTGCTGTTGTTGTTGGCTGCATTATTGTCTGCGTCATACTTTTCCATGACAATGTCAGTGATCTCATTCTCATTGATCACTCTATGAGTGTATTGTCTCTCATAGAGTGGATCTGATTTGCTGGTTGGACAATCTTCAAGAGACAGAAGACCTGATCCGGCAATATTGTCTAGGGTTTCTTCCAAACCCTCAACCAGAACCTTTTCAGTCAGACTTTGCTGAATCATAGCCTGGTTTACATCTATAAATTATATTTAAAATATTAAGAAAGTGAAATTGAAAGATTATACTACTATTATAACCAATAAATTGTTTTACTAATATCTTCACTATCTTTGTCTTCAATGAAGCAAAAGATTGTTGCATTCTAGCAGTTCTCAATAGTCTTTGCTGAGACAGATTCCCGAGCCTCTCTTATCCATTTCATGACCCACAATTGATCAATTTCAAAGATTTTATCAATGGCCCCAATCTTATCTTGTTAGCCATTTTGAATCATGCCAATATACTGATATGTCTTGGCATACTGTTTATGCTTGAAATAAGCCTTAAAAGCCCGAATGATACCACCATCCAATGGCTGAAGGTGGGACGTGGTGTTTGGAGGCAAAAAAAGAAACTCAACATTTGTAGGTGCATAATCTACTATATGGCCAGAGAAATTATTGAGGATCAAAAGCACTTTGCAGTTTTGTACTTTTATTGAATGATTAAAGCAATGGAGGAAAACATAGAAGATTGATCGTGTTATTCAGACATTACTGTTGTAATGATACATAGACAATCCATGATCTACTGCCTCTTGTTTTTTGTTGCTTTTGTTAAAACAGTTTGGTCTTCTTGCATGACCAATCATCAATATGTCAGACCACTTGTCTGTTCCATTGGCATTGCACAAAAGGTCTACTGTAAGCCGCTTCTTATTTTCCTTCCAACCAGAAAATTTCTGGCAGGAAATTGTTGTTCTTGGTGGGGCGGCATAGAAAAGTGCTGTTTCATCAAAGTTATAGATGTCACAAGCACTATAAGCCTCTATCTTCTCTTTGATAGCAGCCTTGTCAATCTGAAGCAACTATATGTCTGTTGAACCAGCCTCACCATGAATTTGATTCATCTTGATATAATGACACTTTACAAACTTCTCCATCCAGCCTTGAGAAACATTAAAATCTTTAACACCTATTCTTTCAGCAAAAATAGTAGCTTTAGTCTTAATCAATTCTCAAGTGATGGGAATCTGATTATTTTCAGCAATGTTAATCCAAAGGATCACTGCTTCTTCGATTTTCTATAGTTATGTGACAATATAATAAGGTTAATTTTATTTTTTATATAGAGCAAAAATACATAATGTTGTAATATATTACATACAGGTCATTTTTTCTTTCTAACATGCTTTCTGTTCTTTATGTTGGCTTGCATTATCAAGCTCTGGTCTCCTCTCTTCAAAATCTTTGAGATTGTAGAAGCATCAGGAGCTTTCTGAAGGCCAAAGATTTCCTTTGCCCACTCAGCCAATTGAAGGTTACTCATAGATGGCTTTTTCTCTTTCATATCACAAATCTCAAGATGATTTGCAATATTAAGCAAAATGTTTTTTTTACTCATATTTATTGTTTAGTTCTGGATTTGATAGATTTCATTAAAGTATGAAAAAAATTGAAAATGATATTAGATAAGTATTATATAATAAGATAAAAGCATACCGAGAAGCTGTTATTATTTGATTGAATAAGAATTTGAAACAATAATTGGTTACGAGACAGGGGGGGTGGAAAACAGCAATGCAGCCAGAGATTATATTTAGCTAGAATGAATTTAAACAGAGGATTGAAGCATATCAAATCATTACTTGATATATTTTTCTTTATTAAAGAATACTGTAAACTCTGCCAATAGTTAGCGGGAAATATATACTCCAAACTCATTAATTTCACTCTTCAATAATTTCAAGACACCTGGCCTTCCCTAGGCCTTGAAATTATCGAGAGACCACTATATAAATTGAATTGTCTTATATAGTTTTCTAAACTAATACTGTGCATTATCCACAGTAGTTATTATTTATTTTTAATTAAAGAAATAGTCATTATACTGCGGTTAATGCTCAGGAAGATATTACTGCACATAAAGAAGTACTGTGGTTAACTATCTTCAGATTTTAGGGATTCATCAAAATAATGTCTGACATTTGCTATAGTAAAAGGAAGATCATCCCAGATCAGGATCTGACATTAATATAAAATTAATATATTATATCGATGAAAAGCCCAACGGGGGGGTCGAACCCCCAACCTTGAGATTAAGAGTCTCACGCTCTACCGATTGAGCTAGCCGGGCGTAATTGTTTTGACATAAGGTACTGTAATAATTGTCAGCCGTTTACAAATTTCGGTTGTCCGGCAGTGCAGTGATGTTGCAGAATTCTTTGTAATTCTAGAAAAATTACACTGCAAAACACTGCTGATTTTAGTTCCTGAAAACCTGCAAAAATTTTACTACAATTTTCGATTTTTAATTTTTTCAAATAATTTCTATTTTTTTCTGTTGTGATTTCAGATCGCTTTTTTTTAGCTGTAAAATCACACTACCGTCATTTTTTTGGCCATAAAATTACAAAATTGGGTTTTTTTTGATATTATACACTTCTTTGATATAATTCTAAATTACATTGAAAAAACACTTATACAAAAGTTAATATAATATTTAATAAAAATTATATATATTCTTAAGGTTTCACTTTTTCTATTTCAAAATAAATCATTTAAATATTTTTTATGTATTATAAATGTGAATATAAGAACAAATATTTAATCCATATATTTCAAGGGAACAAGACAAAAGATTGTGATTTCATTTTTACTGTGGCAATATTTTTGCGTGATTTTTCCCTTTGATATATGGAACTAAAATATCAGATTTTTTTATTTCACATGTTGTGAGAGGCGAATGTTCCATTTTTGAATTATTTTTCGTCATGGTTGAATCATCGTCATATCAAATATTATAATTCTAAAAAAAGACTTTTAAAAAAAATTGCGTACACTTTTAGTAATGTACGCAGTATTTGACTTGGTTAATGACTTAACAATATATGAGTATAATTATGATGATATGTGCGGTAGATGTATCAAAGAATTACTTGACATACTATAGTCATGGCATGGAGCAGTATTTTATCTATTTATAATTTTTTTTTTGGTATATAAAGATCTTGATCAAGATCTTTTAAAATCTATATAATTTTTTTTATAATTTAAAACAATCGACATGTCTAATAATCAAAAGAAAGACAGTTATGTTATCTGCAAATGTCCAGACTGTACAAAGTTAGATAGCTGTGGAAAGAAACAGAAAAGACAAAATGCATAATGACACTATGAGAAACATATAGTGCCTGTTGCCAAAGACGATGCAATGGGTAAATAACAAGAATAACTCGAGCTGTACATGTAAAATTAATATAAATTAATTCATAAAATATATGTTCCTGAAGAACATTTTGACGACATGGAAGTAGATAGTATTGACAGTGACAATGACAATGATTATGATTATGAGAACGAAGGCGAAGGCAAATATGAAGACGAAAATGAAGAACAAAACATTGAATTTGATCAAGAAGATAAGAAAATAAAATAAAATAAATGAACAAAATAATAATTGAAACTGATATATATTTTTTTTATTTTTTATTTTTTATATGATTATAATTGTAATTATATTTTTATTTCTACATCTTTACAACAATTATTCCTTTCCAGTTGACTTACCTTTGTCCCAAGAAGAGTCCATCTTTACTGCCGAAGATACAATTACAGGAGCATTTGTGGTTGATGGCAATGAGATTGAAGAAGGCGATACCGGTTTTGATTTTAAACAAGAAGAAAACTTTGATGAGACCAGTGGGACCTTGATAGTAGAATCAGGTATAAATTAATACGGTATAGACAATTAATCAATATATTAATTTAAACTAACTTAACCTTTGTCTTCATAGTTCGTCCTTCGTCTTTTGATAACATGCCCTTGTATATCCGCTTTGTTGCAGTATTCATTGTCATATTTCACTTGATCTTTTTGGTGGAAAGCGGTGGATCGATTCTCATTGAATTTTGTAATACTCTACTGTCTCTCTGTGATATGTCTGGTGCCCTTCCACTGATGATCAATAGCTTGAAGCATAAGACAGGATTTAACATGGCAACAGACGGAATGACAGTATACATTGCATGCTCACAATGTCATTCAATTTATCCTCCAGAAACAAGTCAAAGAGTCTGTACATTTAAGAAATTCTCTCAATCCGCCATTTGCAACAACAATCTCTTTAAAGTGTCAACCGGAAATCGTTCTCTTCCAGCAATGGTATATCCATTCAACTCTCTGAAGTATGCCTTGTAACAAAAATTCTCCAAGCCAGATTTCGTGTCCAAGATCAATTTGTGGAGAAGTTGTCAAATAATTGAAAACACCAAACTTGACATTTTCAATGGTGCAGTTTGGAGTGATATTAAAGACATCAATGGCAGACAGTTTGTTGATGATAGCCGATCTTTAATGTTGACTCTGAATATCGATTGGTTTCAGCCATTTGATGGACGAACACATTCCAGTGGTATGATATATCTCTCTATCAACAATCTCCCACAGAGTGAACGCCTTAAGTCTGAAAATGTCATTCTTGTTGGTATGATGCCTGGGCCGAAGGAAGCAAGCACTGACAGCATGAATCATTACTTGAAGCCGCTCGTTGACGAATTGTTGGAGATGTACATTGGTGTAGAAATGACAGACTCACAAAATAGAAAGATTGTTGTTCATGCTGCATTGATGTGTGTTGCCTGTGATATCTCTGTCACTCGCAAAACCTCTGGATTTACTAGCCACATGAGCACATGCGCCTGTCACAAATGTCAACGACAATTCACGACTATAAAGAAGACCAGCAAGCTTGACTACTCTGGATTCAAGTATAGCAATTGGGTGAGACGCACGAAGACAATGAATCTGGAACACGCTGTCAGCTGGGCAAATGCATTGAACAATACTGAGCAAACACACCTAGAAAAAGAAAACGGCACTCGGTGGTCAGAGCTTCATTGGTTATCTTACTTTGACCCAGTCCGCTTTACAGTTATAGACCTGATGCATAACCTCTATCTTGGAACTGCAAAGCAAATGATTCAGATATGGCGCAAGTGTAACTACATCAATGAAAAGAATCAGTTAACTATGCAAGAGCTTGCCAATGGTATTGTTGTACCTTGTGGATATGCCCGTATAACAAAGAAGATTGCCAATGGGTTTTCGTTCATGAAAGCTGACAAGTGGAAGTCGTGGTGCATCATATACTCTCCATTTGTTCTGAAGCATGTGCTCCCAGCCAAGAATCTTGAAAACTGGATTTTGTTTGTTGACGCATGCCGCTTACTCACAAAAACTTCGATCAATGACAAAGAAATAGACGAAGCCCACAGTAAACTCCAATTGTTTTGTACAAGATTTCAGACACTGTATGGAAAATCGGCCGTGACACCAAATATGCATCTACATCTTCATCTTAGCAAGTGTGTTCATGACTTTGGGCCAATTTATGCTTTCTGGTTATTCAGTTTCAAGAGATACAATGGTTTGTTGAAGAATATCGAAACAAATCAAAAAGGCGGCTTCGAATCAACGATGATGAAGAGATTTTTGGAGAGAACATACATTGGCAGCTTCATACAATCTTTCGTCAACCATCTTCCCCAGTTTGCAATTGACTTTCTGCATTGCATTTCAAATAGTCAAGATCAATTAGCAGCATTGCATCCATCTTCTACTGCCAGTACCTTTTCTCTGTCTGACTTTGTTGAATATTCGTTAAACCCTCGTCATTCTGCTTTGGGTTGTGAGCCGTTGCCCCCTTCAGTGTTTCCGATTAAACTCGACCAAAGGATTACAATGTGCAAGGGACATTATGAATGTTTACTGGAGTTTTACAGACACGCGTATGGCAGTCACGATCTTTTTGGCTATTATTCAAACTGCGAGTCTAACCAGATTTTTGTCAATAACCAAATTGAGAAAATGAAACGGATATCTCTTCTTGGACAGGAATACTCTTCTGGATCTTATTTCCGCACCTATTATCTTGAGAATAACAGTAAAGATAAAGCAGTGTTTCCTGACCGTATACTGTATTTATTTCAACATTTGATAACTATCAACGAAACTGTCATCACCCATACTTTTGCGTTTGTTGAGTGGTACTCTAGTTATTCTTCGGGGAGTTACCAGCCAATGTTAAATGAAGGCATTGAGCTCTGGAATGAACCTTCTTCTGTACTTAATTATGAATGTATTATTCCAGTACATCGTTTATATTCACCAATCGCAATTGCTAAATATAGGTTTACTATAACTAGTGAATTTAAACATTTAGTAATCCCTTTACCCCAAAAATAGAAGCTTAAATAATATTAATAAAATACCACTTTGCACTCTTTTATCAATTTATTAGAAAATGTTTGATTTATTATCTTATTGTTTCTTTGACCATGATGGCAGCTTGTTTGCCTTGGTCTTACTAAGCTGCTTATCTCTTATTCCTTTAAATTTATGCTCGAATGGACGGGTATTATTTTTCTTATCATGAGCTGCCTCATAATCCGCATCAAGTTCATCAACGAACCTATCTCCCTATATGTCAATGTAAGTATTATTACACACCATCCAAAAAAATAGTTTTTTGTACTATACCTCTTTGCTTCTCCAGCTTGGGCGGAATCTCCAAAAAAAACTCTTTTCTGAGGACGAATCCTGTTCCTCTACTTCTCTTTCGTCATCACTCTCAAGGTCTGACATGTAATCAGCATAGAGAATACTGTCAACATTCTCTCCAAAGCTGTTCACAAAGTGTGCCCGATTGGCTTTCAAGGCAGATTGTCTTCTTTCACACGACTATATATAAATATATAATATTTCTAATTTAATATCACATCTAGTATATTGTGTGCGTGTGTTTTTTACCTTTACACGTCGCTGACAAAGACAGGCCCGTCGATTCTCTTCCTGCTTCTTTTCTCCTGTTTTTTTTTCTTGCAACTTTCTGTTGCCAATGTGCCGCACAATCTTAGTTTGAAGAGTTGGCAAGTCCACCTTTTTCCCCTCTTCTTGACGACGAAGATAATCGGTAACAGACTTCAAAACGAGTCTGTTTCCCTCACTGTTTTTATTTTCATTGGTATTGTATTGGTCATACAATTTCTCTTCACTCAAATAATCGCGCAATAATTGCTATAATATAAATGTATATTAAATTCTATCTACATAAAAACATATTATGATTACTTACA